TCCTTAATTTCCGTGCAGGGCCAACGCACAGCGGCCAAAGTGGTGACTCTCATCCTCAAATTTGCTGATTCGGGGACTCATCAAAGAGATCATCCTGTCTCCATTGTCTGGTTTTAGGCATTTTTGCTTGGTGGCTTGCCTTCAATAGATAAGTTTGTGTTATTTTGCTACTGCAATGTAGTTGCTGATTCGAAGTGGTGCAGTGTTAATTGGTTAATCTGTAAATGCTAGCCATGGCCTATTTGTATATGACATTAGTCCATCGATCAGATCAGATGATGTGTTATTTTGCTATAGTGTAATGGAGTTACATGCACCCTGACATGGGTGGAGTAGCTATAATCTAAATTGAGCAGGAGAGAAGAAAATGTCGATAGTTTCCTTTGACGGAAAAGACAATGGATCATATATATTACTGTCAATTGTTTTTTGCAGGGCTCATTTAGTTTTCCACAGACCAAGCTCAGCCTTGCGCAAGAAATAGAGAAACATCTAGTGCTTACAAACTTCTCCGTTTTGGATCTACATTTCAACACAACAGGGCATGCTTTTGGAGCATTTGTCTTTCGCCTCCTTAGGATCCATTGGATCCGCACTGCTACAAAAATCCTTAAGATAGAGATGGTAGTTCTTCCCTCAGCTTAATTAATTATATCTGAAATATATGTAGCAAAAGGAAAATCCAGGTACAGTTTTGAGATGATGTCTTTGAGGAGTATCAATAATAATTGTAGTCATTCATATTTCTTTTAGGGGGAAAAGGCAATAGCATGCCCGGTAAATTGTCCCTGTGATGAGCCTAAGAACTGGAGAAGCGAAACTATCTCCTTGATCAATCTCGAAGAAGTGGAAATCAGAGGCTTGGGAGGAGAGGATCATGAATTTGATTTCTTGAGGCTGATATTGAAATGTGCACCAAGGCTGAAAAGAATGTGACAGTGAGGCCGTCACATGAGGTCACAACAAGTAACGACGACTGGGGTGCAAAAATATACGACATCCTGAAGGTGTATCCTTCTGTGGGATGCAATGTTTTTCCTTATTCTGGTAAGCGATTCTAAATACATGATTATCATGATCTTAGATGTGACACTTCTTTTTGCATTTTGATATTGTTGAAGCTTCGTAGTTCTGTTGCTTAAACTGAAGCTTTGTATTTGTTAGTCTTTTACATATATATTCAACTATGAAAATTCATATAGTTATGTATGTCAGTAGCTTCCGTGTTGTGCCAGTTATTTATTCTCGGGTGTCTTGTCTTTAGCTTTTCCTCCTAATATAGTTGTTCTAACACTCTGTATGTAGGTTCACACTCGGTGTCTCGGGTGTTTGCTATCTTTCGTGTTTTCTTTAGGTTCCGAAGTACTAACTAAACCCTCATTTTCTGAAAATTCACCATCTACGCCGCTTTTGCATGTACCAGATGTTATATTATTTTCGTAGTCCATGAAGTTTGGTTATGCCCGTATCCCCGTAATTTGCTGAATAAGCTTTATCAGTGCTGATTTTTCTTTGAGGGAATGTTACTACTGAATTTGTGTGCATACACCCTTAAATTTCTCTTTTCAAATGTGGTTGCTGAATGGTGTTAGGCGAAGAATTATTGAAACTTTGTAGTTTGAGCAGGCTTCCTTAGCAGTGCTGACCCTTTTTGGTTTAAGCAATCTTCTCTATTCGCTGCACTTGCAAATTACTGGCCCTGTTTGGTTTACTCAATCATTTCTATTTGCTGCACATGCAAAATCGTAAAACTCCTGGGGATATTCTGATCTCCTTAAATTGCGTGCAGGGCCAACTCACAGCAGCCAAAGTGGAGCCTCTCATCCTCAAATTTGCTGATTCGGGGACTCATCAAAGAGATCATCCTGTCTCCACTGTCAAGTTTCAGGATTTTTGCTTGATGGCTTGCCTTCAATAGATAAGTTTGTGTTATTTTGCTATCGTAATGAACCTGGCTCATTCTTAGTTAATCCGTAAATGCTAGGCATGGCCTATTTGTATGTGACATTAGTCCATGGATCAGACGAGACTATGAAAAGTAAC